GATATAGCAAGTTGTAAAGAATCGCTGATTTGTTTCGCAAGTTATTTCGATTTTTTGTGAGGGAGGTACTAGGAGGAGTGCACCGATATTGCCCATCTCCGAACTCGATCTAAGTTTGACAAAAATGTTACGATGCACCAAGTTTGGACCAAATCGGATTCTGCCTTCGAGAGTTGTCGTGCACACCAGCCAGACAGGCGGACGGACGAACGGACGGACATCCTGAAACGGATTTGGTCCAAAGAGTCCTAGGGTCTAAAACCGTTATTTCGACTAGGCACGTTTTGACCGTATCCCATTCTAGCCATATGGCTGAGGGTATAAAAAGTAAGCAAATGCTATGGTCATACGGGGTCGACCACAAAATTTTATTACGTTAAAAGTCACCATGGGTCCCAATCCATTTTATCATGAACAATATCGGTTTATTGTTTGTATAGTCCATATAAATGTGAATCCATATTTCAAGTATTTTACGTTTTAATTATATTTTCCATTTAATTTGGCCAAATTTTGGTAATTCGAATTATTTGCTAATTGTATTAGCAAAAATACATCAATATCGGTCCAGACCTTGTATAAAGATAACCTCTGATTTTAGTTAGTATGAAGGTTTTTTCCATATACTTCAACTAATAGCACAATTTATGGAATCCTGGCATTTAAGTTAGATTTAGAGTGTTGAAGTATTCTTAGACCTAAGTAGACTTTTATGTCGTCACTCCTGGTTTCTCAACATCATTTCAGTACAATTTAGGATTGTAGCTCTCCATTTTCTCTCAAAACGTCCTCTGTAATCCGCCAAAATTGCCGCGTTATTTTTCTTTTAATATCGAGTTATATCCTTATTGCTGATCTTTGGCATTCTCTTATTACCAAACACCCAAGCCATGAATGTCAAATGGTCGCCATTTTATCGCTAACCCCTTTCTTTTATTGATTTTTGCAAATAACCCGTTTCGAACAAAAACCCCGCAATTCCGAGATGTACGTGATTGGCATTTTGGTTGCATGGCTGATAAAACGTTATCCTTTTTATGGATTTTCGCATATAAGACTAAATAAATCTCTTGATGTAATAAAAGTATTAGATAAATCGCTATCATCATGTGGAGCAGCAATAGCTGTGGCAGCATCCATGTTGTCCAATGCCAATAAATGACGCCTACCCCTTTCTGGGGAAGGAAATATATATTGCACTGCAGCGGCCAGTAGATGAGATGAGGATGGAGAAGATGAACGAAGGAAAAGACACTTTCCAAAGACAAAAAATCTTCAAGTATTTTCAAGATTTCCTGCAGTGAACGAATGACAGAGAATCGCTTGGCTAAAAGCCGTCTTTCGCGTTCCAAAAACCCATCAACGGCAGAGAAGACATAACCAACAGCTAAAAGCTAAAATATGCCAATAACAGCAAACATTCCGGCATTCTTGAGGATGTAGTACCACGACGACGACGATGACAACGAAGGCATTTGCTTGGCTCTGCTATGGCAATGACAACAATCCTTGGAATGACAATGCAAGGATGAATATGAGGTTGGGTGTGCCATTCACCACCCACCCTTTGAGAAATATCCAACAACAATGGCTAAGTGCTTATTTCATGGCACTGTTGTTGTTGCTGTTCCATCTTCTTTCATTCACTCCTTTTGCTCTCTGTTTCCCGCCAGACGATGTCAAACGCATAACAAGACGACAGAGGAAGACAGCGAGAAGTTGCAGCAGCATTGCATAATTCCTGCCTTTGTATATTTTGATATGAGTGAATGAATGAATGAATGACTCACTGACTGACGTAGTGACTGAAGGAATGAATGCACTTCATTTGTTGTTTGGGAGTAAATTAGAAAATTCCTACTTCTGCTTCTTCTTCTTCTTCATGGAATATTTATATTGTTGTTTTTGTTTTATTTTTATTTTTTCAAAGGCTAGGAACAATACATCCTAACACCATTACTCATTTACAGGAACAAATGTTCCGTTTTACTTGGCGAAATGTATGACAGGCATGCGGAATGTTGAGTACATGTCTCTGGTAGAGAGTACTCCAGTTTTTTCCACATTTATGTGGGTTGTCAGCTCTTTAACCATTGTTAACGGGAAGCGTGTCAGCAGGGGGTGACGTCGATCCCAAAAAATTGTAAATAGAGTAGTCCCCTTCTTTCTGATTGCAAACTTTGCTTCCCAAACGTCTGGATATCGAAACTTAAGCCGATAGATATAATCTAGAAGCGGGATAGGAGCAGGCGGTGAGGGGGTGTAGAACGACGTTTCAAAATTTGTAAATTAAGAACAAACTGCCTTTTAAATCCAATATATTCCCCCAAAATTTCAAGATATCGAAACTTGAGCCTTTATATATTTGAGGGATTACAGAGAGTTCACCAACCATCTCTTCCGTAAACTGGCCAAACTTTGTGATGTTCGGGCAGTTGCTGTTCTAAAACATAAAGTAAGCCCATACTTCCCATTGACAGCAGCATCAGTAGCTTATGATCGTAGAAAGCTTCAGAAGTCCAGCCCTAATGGTCCAACATTCAGGCAACCGGCATTGCAGGCTGCTCAAGAAGCATCATAGGAATCGATAAATTACGCTGTACAACACAAACATATAGTTACAGGAAAAAAATTCCACCCTTTGGGGGGAGATACCAGAAGAAATAATCCAATCTCTACCATCTTTGCAGCAGATCTTGTGTTGATGGAAATATTGAGATGTGCCAAAACTGAATGGAATCGAATGTTAATTTCGGGTTTTATGAGCTTTATGGATATTGAAAATGTTGACCCTTTTGTGGGTGGGGGCACTAGAAGGAGTAGATCGATATATTCCATCTTTACAGCAGATCTTGTGTTAATAGAAGTATTGAGATGTGTTTGAAGAGAACCAGATGATTATTTCAGATTTTAAAATAAATTTTGGTTATTGAAAACTTTGACCCTTTGTGGGGGAGTCACTTGATGGAGTGGACCGATCTCTATCATCTATATAACAGATCTTGTTATGATGGAAATATTGAGATGTGCAAAGCCTGAATGGAATTTAATGTTAATTTCGAATTTTATAAGCTTCATGGATATTCAAAAATTTGACGCTTTGAGGCACCAGGAGGAGGAGACCGAGATATCCCATCTTTACAGCATATCTTGTTGGAGTAGAATTAATGGGATGTGTGAAATATGAAGAAAACCGTATGTTTGTTTCGGATTTTAAAATCATTTTGGTTATTCCAAACTTTGGCTCGTTGTGGGGGAGGTACCAGAAGGAATGGTCCGACCTCTACCATCTTTATAACAGATCTTGTGTTGATAGAAATATTGAGATGTGCCAAATCTGAATGGAATCGGATGTTAATTTCGCGCTTTATGAAATTCATGAATATTAAAAAATGTTGGCCCTTTGTAGGGGAGGTACCAGAAGGAGTGGACCGATATATTCCATCTTCGCACCAGATTTTGAGTCAATAAACAATCAATACATCACAATCGGACTGTTACATCATATTAAAGTGGTTTTGGAAATGTGCTACATGTGTCCGAAAATTACTCAATAGTACAAGCCTGGACAAATGGAGTGGTTTCAGAAATATATATCAATGTGGTACAAAAAGCTATACTATATTCGGTATTGGATGAAGGGATAGAGACAAAATCCTGACATTTGATATTTAGATCACTAAAGTAAGTACGAAATTGAACTAAATTTTATATATTTATGCATCACCTCAAAAAAGGCGGAAAATAATTAGGGGCAAAGGAAATGCCTTTTAAAAGAAGTAGAATAATTTCTGAATGACAGATTTCACAAGTATCGTTTGTCTTTGGAATATTCTTCCCAACGATATTCAAAACATCAGCAATATTACAGCTTCAAGATTTTCATGTCCGCTCAAGTCCGCTTCAATCGACGCATTGGAAGACAAGGCTGAAGCATTTATTCGGGAGATACCAGCCGAAATGTGGGAAAAAGTATGCCAAAACTGAACTAAACCGATGGACAATTTTAGGGGCGCAGCTTCTCCGAATTGCTAGGCTTTGTCTCTCGGGCGGTTCTCAGTAAAGTAGTTAACTAACAAAGAATACCAGAATGATCTTGTCTTTATAAATGTAACGAGCCCCAGGAAACAAGACCACAAGCGCGAAGACAGCGGGGCACACAATCTGGTTCTATCTGCAGCTTCGCTGACAAACTTCTATTGTCTTATAGGTAGTCCTAAGTTCTCGGAACACAAAATTCCAAATAAAAGCCACTTCTGTCCTTTTAGCTATGCCAAGAAGCCAAGGAGCAATGAATTCAAATGCCACTGAGAAACTTTCTCCTTTTATTGTCCAAATACTTCAGGCCAACTCCAACTTTTAAACAAATATAAAATTTCATCAAATGCTTTTACAAACTTTTAACACCACCCTCGTTAAAATATAAATATGTATGTATTGATGTTCTGTAACGAATAAATAATTCAATTGATTTTGACATCATCATTCTCATTATGACCCATGACCATAATGGAATCTATGCAAAATTGCTGTGAGTGTGTTAAGTGCTTTCTTCCGTCCGTCCCTAGTTCCTTTAGTCCTTTTGTAATGACAAGAAGAAAATGCCTTCTTTCTCTATTCTAATGGCATTCCTAAGATGTCCACTTGCGCCCGTCAATATGTAAATGACAATATAATAATGGTATTATGCAGGTCACATACAGCAGGACAATTTGTCCTGTTGACCATTTTCAATTGCATTTATCAATAAATTACTTCGTGCCAAGCGAAGTGGGCCCTTTGGATGGAATTTAATTAGATGTCATAACATAAAGAAATGATAGTTTTTGTTGGGATATTTTGTATTGGAATGGTCAACTTATAAGATTATAATTACATGGAGCGCCAAACGGAATCATAGGGCAAGTAAAGATTACCTCCCATAATGTATGATGTGGTATTTTGCATATTTCCGAAGTTCTTAATTTTTCAATAATAAAATCTCTGATAGTTCAACTTACCTTTCCATACATCTTGACATTCAATCTGAAATAAAACAAAATAAATAATTAACAAACGGCAAAATAATTTGATTTTTTTATACATATTTTTTCCAAGAACTATTGAAGCCATAAACATGGATTATTTCAACATGTTCTTCCAAGGTCTTAGAGGCCAAAAAATTGGATTTTTTTAAATATTTTTCCAAGGACTACTGATGGACTATTGAGGTGATTTTTTTATATTTTCCCAGGGACTACTGAAAGAGTATTGAAGTCAGTATCATGTATATGAACTGACTACTGACTACTGAAGGGCTATTTAGGCCATAAACGTGGATTTTTAAAAATATTTTTTCCAAGGACTACTAAAGGACTATTGAAGCCATAAACGTGGATTTTCAAAAATATTTTTTCCAAGGACTACTAAAGGACTATTGAAGCCATAAACGTGGATTTTTAAAAATACTTTTTCCAAGGACTACTAAAGGACTATTGAAGCCATAAACGTGGATTTTCAAAAATATTTTTTCCAAGGACTACTAAAGGACTATTGAAGCCATAAACGTGGATTTTTAAAAATACTTTTTCCAAGGAATATTGAAGCCATAAACGTGGATTTTTAAAAATATTTTTTCCAAGGACTATTGAAGCCATAAAAGTGGATTTTTAAAAATATTTTTTCCAAGGACTATTGAAGCCATAAACGTGGATTTTTAAAAATATTTTTTCCAAGGACTATTGAAGCCATAAACGTGGATTTTTAAAAATACTTTTCGAATGACTTCTTAAGGACTATTGAGGCCTTAAAAGGACTACTAAAGGACAGTTGAGGCCATAAACGTGGATTTTTTCAAAATAGTTTTCCAAGAACTATTGAGCCCGTAAACGTGGATTTTTAAAAATACTTTTCGAATGACTTCTAAAGGACTATTGAGGCCTTAAAAGGACTACTAAAGGACAGTTGAGGCCATAAACGTGGATTTTTTCAAAATAGTTTTCCAAGAACTAATGAGCCCGTAAACGTGGATTTTTTCAAAATATTTTTTCAAGGCCTGCTGTAGGACAATTGAGCCCGTGAGCGTGGATTTTTTACAAAATTTTTTCCTAGGACTATTAAGGCCATAAGCATGGATTTTGAAAAAATATTTCTCCAAGGACTTTTAAAGCTATAAACGTGGATATTTTCAAATATTTTTCCAAGGACTTTCGAAGCCATAAAGGTGATTTTTTTTATTGTTTTTCCAAGAACTTTTGAATGGATTTTTTAAAAATATTTTTCCAAGGACTTTTTAAGCCATAAACGTGGATTTTTTAAAAATATTTTTCCGACGACTATTACGGCCATTAACATGGATTTTTTTAAATATTTTTCTAAGGACTATTGAGGCCATAAAGGTAGATTTTTTAAATATATTTTTCAAGGACTTCTGAAGCACTACTTAGACCACAAACGTGGATTTTTTAAAGGAATTATTGAAGCATTAATCTTCGATTTTTTAACAATGTCTTTACATCGCAGAGCATTGCTCTACATAAATATATACATGACCCCTCTCTACCCTCCCGCCCAAACAAAAAGCAAATTTCACCATACATTTCCATATGCATGCATGCGTGTTCATGCTACTTCATATTTCTAACAAAAATTGAGAACATAAAGTGGCCTTTGGAAATATATCTTAACATATTCCATGTTATGCATGCAGATATCCAGCCACCAGGCAGCCAAATCAACCAACCCATCAAAGCCCATCTAACCCAGCGGGTGAGCCACAATGTCGGCACGTTCTACATAAATTCAAACACGTAAAACAAAGAAACCCATAAAAATGCAATATTTTTATGATGACTGGCAAACGCATGTTAATATCCTTTTCGAAATGAATTTGACTTTATTTCTGTGCGTCATGAAGTCATTCACATTTAGGACAATAAAATTGTCGGGGCAATTGCCAAAAGACGGCGACGACGACGGCGGCGAAGAAGAAGAAAGAAATATCAAAAGGAATGCATGTGACTGTGCCCGTGCACAGTTTTATCCAGGACAATCATCAAACAGAAAAAGCAACGAGTGCCACAGACAGACACTGAGAAAGAGGTTGACTATGTCTTACATTTGATGATGGCACAGAGTGATTGAACGACCCTGACTGTTTGGACCACAAACGTTTTGAGGATTTACATGTATTTCGAACAACAAATGAATGTTGCCATGGACAATTTTATTTTCGCCCCACCCCCAATATGTGCATGATTGCAAACATGCCAGAAGGGGCAAGCAGTGGATTTTGACGAATTTGGTGGATTTTAAAATATTTTTTTTTTAATCCCAAATAGCTCAACAGAGGATGTCAATACAGGACAATTGCCATGAAATTTTGCATGGTCTCATGTCACGAGGCACAAAGGAGCATAAACCTTTTGCAGGACCAAACCTGTATATACGTATCATATCTGTGGAATGTCTTCTATTGAAAGTAGGTTTCTGCGATATGTTGGTTTCATCTTTAAATCTATAAATATGAAAAAGTAGTGAAACAGACAGATGCCCAGAAGAAACGATTGAAGCTAGAATCTTGAAATTCTAGAAATCTTGGAGAGGATCACTCTGGCTACGAAGAAGTCAGCTTTTTTTGTAAATTCGTACTAGAACGGCACGAAAAGTATTAGCAGTTGCTAAATATGGTACCTTTGTATTTGAGCCTTTGGAATGAAGTGCATGATGGATGTACCAAAGGGTTTTTGAAAATTCGCACTATAAGTGTACGAAAAGTACTTAAATGTACTAAATTTGGTACCATTTTGTATCATGTGATCGGTAAGAGCTAAAAAAAACTTGACATTTGGAATGGGAATCAAGGTATGAGGAGTAAGTAGTTTTGGAAGTATGTACTGTATGCATTCGAAAAGTGCTAAAAGGTACCATTGGTACAATTGGTACAATTTAAATTTGGACGAAGGGGAAGAGCTTCAATTATGAAATTTTAAATTAACATTACCGGCGAAGTGTAGAATTGGGATATTTGGGTTTTCGAAATCTGTACTTATGTTCACAAAAAGTACTAAATGGTACTTTTTGATACAATTTCGATTTGTGTAAACCGATAGAGGTGAAATGTTAACATTTGGAAATAAGATTATTATTGCATTGAAGGACTGAAGTATTAAGGTAGTTTTGGAAATTCGTACTTATGTGAACCAAATGGTACTAAATTTGGTACAATCTCAATGTTGGGAGAACCGATAGAGTTCGAATCCTGAATTATTTGTATTGGACAAACGGTATGAGCTAGAATTCTGTAATTTGGTATGAGGGTCACTGGTGGAGTGCAAGATAAATGAAGCGCACAGTTTTGGGAAACTCGAACTTTAAGGTTGCGAAAAGTTCTAAAATGGTACTACACTTCAAAATGGTACCATTTGGTATTATGTAAACGGATAGATAAAATTGAAATTTGGTATGAGAATTATGGTTGGAAGGTAAATTAGAAATATATGAAGTTGGTTTTGAAAATGTGTACTAAGTGTGCGAACTGTACTAAATGGTGCTAAATATGGCGCAGTTTGGTTTAGGGCATAATGGGTGAATTTGAAATTTGGACATTTTTTTTAATTGGAGTCCCAGTTGGTGGTATGTTTGTAATAAAGAGGTGATTTTGGATGTGTACTACAAGTGGACAAAAAGTACTAAATAGTACTTTATTTGGTACAATTTGGTATTGGGTGTGCAGATAGTGCTTGAAATGTGATATTTGATATTGGGTTCGCTGTTCATGTTTAACCTGGACATATTGAGATGACTTCGGAAATGTGTACTTTGATTGTACGAAAAGTACTGAATGGTACTAAATTTGGTATTGGGCGAAGGGATGGAGATAAAATTCTGACATTTGATATTTACATTACTGACGGTATCTGTGTTTCAGATTTGGCGGCGGTTTGGAAATGTGTCCAATATTTGTACGAAGAGTACTAAATGGTAATAAATTTTGTACTGGGTGAAAGGATAAGGCTGGTATTCTCAGATGTAATATGGAGCCCTCTTTTGGTATTTGGAATTGAACTGTACCAAATGGTACTAAATTGGGAACAGTTATGTTTTCGATGAGCGGATGAAGCTGGTATCTTGAAATTTTATATAGACATCCTTGTTGGTGGTGGGAGTGTGATAAAGCGGTGGTCTTGGAAGTGTACAAAAAGTACTAAATGGTGCTATTTTCGGTACAATTTGGCTTTTGGTGAATAGATAGTGCTTGAAATGTGAAATTTGGTATTGAGGTCGCTGTTCATGTTTAACCTGTATATATTGAGGTGATTTCGGAAATGTGTAATGTGATTCTACGAAAAGTATTGAATGGTACTAAATTTGGTATTGAGGGATGAAGGGATGGAGATAGAATTCTAAAATTTGATAGTTACATTACTGATGGCATCTGTGTTTAAGATTTGGCGGTGGTTTGGAAATTCTCCCATATTTATACGAATGTACTAAATAGTACTATATTTGGTATTGGATGATGGGATGAAGATAAAATTCTGATATTTGATATTGAGGTCTCTGTGGGTATCTGGAATTGAGATATTGAGGTTGATTTTTGAAATGTGTACTATAATGGCACGAAAAGTACTAAATGGTACTACATTTGGTATTGGGGAAAGGGGATAGGATTGGAATCCCAAAATTTGATAATGAGGTCTCTGTTGGTATCTTGAATTGATGTATGGAGGTGGTTTTGAAAATGTATACTAGATTCGTACAAAGACTACAAAATAGTACTATATTTGGTATTTGGTGAAGGTATAGGATTGGAATCCTCAAATTTTATATTGAGGAGTTGGTTTTAGAAATGTGTACTATATTGAGACATTGAGGTGGTTTTGAAAATGTATAATTGTACAAAAAGTACTAAATGGTACTAAATTTGGTATTGGGTGAAAACTTATGGCTGAAATCCTCAAATTCGATATTGAGGTCTCTGTTGGAATCTGGTATTGAGACATGGATGTGGTTTGAAAAATGTGTACTACAATTGTACAATTGTA